ACTCTTTGGTTGCTTTTGCAGTATGCTTTGGGTCATTGTCCATCTGCACTGTGAAGTGGCGTCCAGTGAGTTCTGAAGCATTTGGCTGAATATGAGCAGATAATATTGCCCGAAACACTTCAGAATTCATCCTGCTGCTTTTGTCAGCAGTCACATCATCAATAAATACAAGAGAAGCAGTTCCTATGGCAGCCATACATGCCCACGCCATGACACTACCACCACCATGCTTCACTGATGAGGTGGTATGCTTAGGATTATGAGCAGTTCCTTTCCTTCTCCATACTCTTCTCTTCCCATCACTCTGGTACAAGTTGATCTTGGTCTCATTTGTCCATAGGATGTTGTTCCAGAACTGTGAAGGCTTTTTTAGATGTCGTTTGGCAAACTCTAATCTGGCCTTCCTGTTTTTGAGGCTCACCAATGGTTTCCATCTTGTGGTGAACCCTCTGTATTCACTCTGGTGAAGTCTTCTCTTGATTGTTGACTTTGACACACATACACCTACCTCCTGGAGAGTGTTCTTGATCTGGCCAACTGTTGTGAAGGGTGTTTTCTTCACCAGGGAAAGAATTCTTCGGTCATCCACCACAGTTGTTTTCTGTGGTCTTCCGGGTCCTTTGGTGTTGCTGAGCTCACCGGTGCGTTCTTTCTTTTTTAAGAATGTTCCAAACAGTTGTTTTGGCCACGCCTAATGTTTTTGCTATCTCTCTGATGGGTTTGTTTTGTTTTTTCAGCCTAATGATGGCTTGTTTCACTGATAGTGACAGCTCTTTGGATCTCATCTTGAGAGTTGACAGCAACAGATTCCAAATGCAAATAGCACACTTGAAATGAACTCTGGACCTTTTATCTGCTCATTGTAATTGGGATAATGAGGGAATAACACACACCTGGCCATGGAACAGCTGAGAAGCCAATTATCCCATAGGCAAACTGTTGTAATTCCTACACCGTTCACCTAATTTGGATGTAAATACCCTCAAATTAAAGCTGACAGTCTGCAGTTAAAGCACATCTTTTGTTCGTTTTATTTCAAATCCATTGTGGTGGTGTATAGAGCCAAACATGTTAGAATTGTGTCGATGTCCCAATATTTATGGACCTGACTGTAACTGTATATGATGGTCAGATGATTAAATAATTTGTTTCTTGTATTTTACCGATGTAAACTCTCCTCCCCCATTTCCACATAATCAGTCTTGCTGTTTCTGCTTCTTCATTACGATTATTATACCTGCTGCACACTGCCTTATAGAATAAATAGAAATTCCAGCAGGAAGTGTGACAGGCCTTCACAGTGGTAGGGTGCTGTGGGGCTTTGTGGATAACCTGGCCTGTCGGCATCCACCCATAACCGGAATAAAGTATTTTGGTTGACTGAACTATACCATTTTTGATCATTTATGGTTTTAAAAAAAAAAACAAACCCCTGATGACTGTATACAGATGACCTCCTTCTGTTGTGTTGTATGTCTCTTGACCTATGTGTCACCCTGTCACTCTCCCCCAGTAGTCCCACCCCACATATTGCCCAGTTAGTGACCTAGTAATGTTCCAGCCATGGCCACATTGTCCTGCCAGTGACCTGGTAATCCTGAGCTACATTGTCCTGTCACCGACTGGGTAATCCTGAGGCAACATCGTGTCAGCAGTTGCTGCATTTCTTTACAAATTCCACAGCCCCTTCAATTGTCAAAACTCTTCTCTTAATATGTAATGTGATATCATAAGTATGAGTGGTTGTCGTGTGGGTTTTTTTTTAATATACTTTAAATGGATATATATTTGGTGTACTGTAACCCACTAAGTTTAAAGAGAAGCCCATACATATTTATGGATGGCCAAAACTAGTGGTGGCATGGTTTTGTTGGCCCCCCGCACAACTCCTTGGGTAAAGGAACAAATACATAGGTGTGTGTGAACACCCAGCTCAGAATTCATAGTATTTGGGGTCATGATCTTTATCTCTACTCCAGTCAATCAAAAAAAAATAAGTCTTAAGCCCATTAGTTCTTCGAACTACGTGCAGACCATTAGCTTCAAAATTACACTGTGAGAAAGTCATGACTTCCAACAAGTTGCTAAAGGGTTAGTCCTCTTAAAAGTAATATTTTAATTATAGGTAGTGCCTGGAGAGTAGAATTAGTCCCTGATCTCTTTTGCCAAGGTATCCAAGACAAAAGATTTCCCTGCAAAACATCTGTCTACCTGGGAGCTTTGGGTGTCCTATCCACAAGTGTATGTCCTTCATGTTCTAAGATGCTCTCTAGAATATAAAATAAATCCTATAGTGAGAGTAGAAACTGCTCATAGTCGAAGATGTTGCAGACACAGGGAATCAAGCATGGATAGTAGAGCAATAGTAGTCTTGAAGATCTGGAACCTTTTTATAAGTGCTTTTACTGTTCAGCATCTGCAAAATTCGCATTCCCTGTGTTCACTGCTATGTAGTTATAAACCTATGCAAGGTCCATTTTGGTTGGTATTGGAGTTTACACAGGGTTGATGTTGTCCTCTCGTCACCATGTTTGGGCTTGGCAAGTAACAGCTAGGTCAGAGCACGGCATTATTGGCGGAGGTGCTACCTGAATAATATTTTATTAGTTTAATTTCTCCTCCTCTTATTGGTGTGGGGGAGAGGGGTTTTGGGCCATAGGTTATTTTATTTTTTGTTCTTATTTTGCCTGGGGGGAGAGGGTGTAAGGGTTATTTTTACTCTAGGGATTTATACTTACAGTATTTTTCTGGCGTATAAGACTACTTTTTATACTTAAAAATACACCCCAAAAAATTGGGGGTCGTCTTATACGCGGGGTATAAAATGTGAACCTTGAGTTTGTTTGGGTCAAGCTGGCTGGATGTGTGGTAATACTGTACATACAGTATACTGTGCTGAGCCAAGCTGGCTCAAAACAAATGTCCCTATGACAGATTAATCTGTCAGCCCGCCTGCTCGGATTGGCTGAGTCAGAGAGGTGGGCTGATGATGTCACAACCTCAGCCAATCCGAACAGGCTTCGTATTTATTAGTAGAATACATCGCTCGCCGTGATTGGCCCAGCGTATACTGTATGTAGCTGCAGCTACTGTACATACACACATCCAGTGGGCTGATTATACCGTAGGGACGTACCGGTACGTTTTGAAACAGCTTGGCTCAGTATACTGTATATACCACAGTGGGATATACTCAGTATACTGTATATACCACACATCCAGCGGGCTGACAGATTAATCTGTAATAGGGACATTTGTTTTGAGCCAGCTTGGCTCAGCGCGGTATACTGTCTCCTGTGGGCTGTATATATACTGTATACTGTATGTAGCCGAAGCTACCGTATTACCGCACATCCAGAGGTAACCATCTGATTTGGAATTTGATCCATATGATGACTGTCTTACAAATGTATCACAAGATGTCATTCATGAACTTATGATGTCAGAGGATGAACATGAGGATTTTGAAGGATTTTAAGTACCAGTAAGTCATAACCATTTCAATTAAAAAATATGATGTTTTTAAATGGTGTTGCCTCGGAAAGGGGGTAGTCTTATACGGCGAGTATAGCCCAAAACCTATGTTTTAACTTGAAAATTAGGGGGTCGTCCTATACGCCCAGTCGCCTTATACGCCCGAAAATACAGTATTTATTTTAAATCCTGTCTGAGAGGTTTTGCGGAGCTCATATATGAATGAACTGTCTTAGAATGTATTGAGGTTTCCCATTATGTTTAATGGATCGTTTTTTGTAAAACACAAACGTGTGTGTGTGTGTGTGTGTGTGTGTGTGTGTGTGTGTGTGTGTGTGTGTGTGTGTGTGTGTGTGTGTGTGTGTGTGTGTGTGTGTGTGTGTGTGTGTGTGTGTGTGTGTGTGTGTGTTGTGTGTGTGTGTGTGTGTGTGTGTGTGTGTGTGTGTGTGTGTGTGTGTGTGTGTGTGTGTGTGTGTGTGTGTGTGTGTGTTTTTGTTTTTTTTTTTTTTTTCCCCCCCTGTAATTTTATGCTAACTCAATCAGCAGGTTAAAAGCCCACTAATTGCAGAGGAGCAATTGTGTTAATTTTATTTTGTACAATTTCTCCCCTCACTTTTTTTTTTTTTTTTTTTTTTTTAGTTTTTAGGGTATTTTATTGATCATTGATTTAGTGTTAGGCTGGGTGTAATCGTTTTACTGATGTGTATACTTGGGATCTTGCCTGAAAGATTCTGAGCAAAATGCTCCTATAAAGACCTTGCGTAAACACATGTAAAGGTGCGGAAACATATAGACGAGTAAAATTCTTCTTGGTTGCCAGTGTTGTAATATATTACTTTTATACTCGCATTAATTGCTGCACTCCAAATGTAATGTTGTTTTTTTGTTTTGCGACTTTGTATTCATTGCTGTATTATTGATCCTTATTCTGCCCCCAGAGCTATAAATTTTGCATTATCAAAATCTTAAACATAAGGGCCAGTAGGGGAGCACTCGGATGGGATTCAGCCATTGTGACCATTGGATCTGGAGCCCTTAATAAACACTAATCATCTGAGCAGCCCTAGGCTGCTTAGCGGGAAGTGTGTGGGATTCTTCAAAGTAAAGGTGGCCAAACATTGATCAACATTCAGCTGGTTCAGCAGGGACTGGGAGAATATCAATCCATGTTTGGGCAGGCTGGTTGTACAGAAGTCGATGTACCAATTGGAGACTGAGACTGGCCCTCAGAGTTTGAGCTGTATGAAGTGACTGGTCCCCAGGACGGGAAACTGACATTCACTATAGAGCAAAATGCAACTTGGAGAGTGCACTGCTACAAAAAAGGCTACAAAAAGGTGTATATACTGAAATTTTATTTTTTGCATGGTGTTGGGCTTTACATTTTTAAAAGTTGGCTCATTTTGGATGCTATCACAGCTGCTTCAGATACTGGCTGATCCAGTTTCAGTAACTCTTCCCCTATGAGCTTCAAAACCAAGCCCTCACGGATTCTGTAGCTGCAGGCACTGTGGAGCAGTCCAATCTTAACCTCCCTGGAGGTATTCCCGAGTGTAGCTCGGGGTAAAGTTTCAGTACCACAAGCGGTAACCCCGAGCTACACTCGGGCTTACCATGCGGCACTGCTCTGCGATCCTTCGATCACTTACCTTGTCCTGCGCTCCCACGATGTCCCTCCTGCAGTGTCCCCGGCAATGTAATCCGGCGGATTCCGGCATCTGTCATCTGGGTGCCGTCCCCAGCGAGCGTCGGGACGTACGGGGGACAGAACGGCGGGAAATTTGAAAATGACAAAAAATGATATTCACTAAAATCACAATCGCATAGTAAAACATTACTGTATCAAAGCATTTCACATACATTTTGTCCCGAGTGCTTTGTCCTGTGCCCTGCCTGCATTTTTACTGTTCTTTCTGCCTGGAAACTGAGAAATGTCCATGGCATCCAAAAAGTGTCCATTTTAGGTCAAAAGCGGTTTTAGACCAGCTAGAGAACAGCGATAGTAAATCAGAACCACTTGCAAATTGAGTGATAATGATTTGTGGGGAAATTCATCATCAGACACTGAAAACGATTTTGCAAACTTGGCGCTATATTTCATATTTCAGTGTTTTTGGTTTGATTAGCTTGGGGTAAAGTTTCAGTACCAAAAGCGGCAACCCCGAGCTACACTCGGGCTTACCATGCGGTGCTGTTCTGGCATCTGTTCTTCACTTACCTTGTCCTGCGCTCCCGCGATGTCCCTCCTGCAGTGTCCCCTGTAATGTCCTCCGGCCGATGCCGGCATCTGTCATCTGGGTTTTGTCCTCTGCCAGGTCGGGACATACGGGGACAGAACGGTGGAAAATTTGAAAATCACAAAAAGTGACATTCACTAAATACACCAAAATCACATAGTAAAACATTACTGTACCAAACCATTTCACATACATTTTGTCCCGAGTGCTTTGTCCTGTGCCCTGCCTGCATTTTTACTGTTCTTTCTGCCTGGAAACTGAGAAACGTCCATGGCATCCAAAAAGTGTCCCTTTAGGTCAAAAGCGGTTTTAGACCAGCTAGAGAACAGCGATAGTAAATCAGAACCACTTGCAGAATTGAGTGATAATGATTCGTGGGGAAATTCGTCATCAGACACTGAAAATTATTTTTGCGACTTTGCTCAGCGATGTGCGAACTTGGCGCTATATTTCAAATTTCAGTGTTTTTGGTTTGATTATATTATTGAATTAAATTTATTCTATTATTATTTTTTATAATTATTTATTAAATTATAATTTATGATTTCGTGTTTCAAGTTTTATCCTACCTGGGATGTTTACTAGACTCTTGTTCGGACAGATTTCAGTGAGTTATTCCTAAAAATTACAGGCCTACAATAAAAAAATACATATTTCCATGCAAAAAAATGTACCGCTTTGAGCACAGAAATATGGACATAATCAGACCGCTAGGGAGGTTAAAGGTCACAGCAGACACACTGAATTTGTTCAAGTCTCTCACAGAACCTTAGCTCATCCTGCTCCTTTTCCTAGCAGTTACTCAAAAGCCTTCAACCCCATTAACACTTTGATTCACTGGAAATCAAGTCTCATTCTATGTTTTCCAATAACCGTTCATATACGTGTGACTTTAAGTTGCAGCGACTTCAAAGTAGTTCATGCACTACTATGGGCTGCCTTGTATGCAACTTGAGGGCCATAGACTTTAATGTTAACCCTCAAAAGTAGCATGAAAGTCATGACTGACTGTTTTGCATGCAACAATGGGTCTGATTGTGCAGAGAAACAAGTCCCTTCCAAGTCGTCATGCCCATACAAAGTTGCACGACTTTGGAGTCGTAAAAGTGTGGATGGTCCAGTCTTGTAAACGGGTAGCAGGTGCTCTGGAAGGAGTGATATTCCTCATATTGTGTGCTGGTTACTAATGCGGTGTGATTTTTACATAACCAGCTTTGTGAGATGACAGATCTTATGTATATGGATAACTTTGTTATTACAGAGACATTGTTCAGGGACTCAATGACTGGGAAATAACTAGAATAGGGTATACACTATATAGGAACAACAGAGTAGAAAAAAACTAATGCATTCAAAAAGCAAATTGCCTGAAACCCTCTGCATCTGTCTACGACCCAGAGGAATGTTTCCGTGGAATTGCCACCAGTAGAATTTTTTAACGAACGTTCATAACATTGGTGTGAAAATTCTCTGTATGTTTGACTTGAAAAATGTTGTTTTGAAAGTACTTTAACTTTTATTTGCTATTTTGATTTTCAAATTTCCTAAAGTAAAACCACATTTTACTCTTAACTTCATTGAGAAAAATTTAATTCTGCTCCTTTTTGATTTTTCTTGTCACTTTGGTTGAATAATGACCCCATTTAATGATAAGAAAATCAAACTATTCTTAAAACGACAAACATTTTGAACAAAATTCTATTGTTTGGCTGCTGCCTGTCAAACTTGGCATGCCATGGCAATATGTATCCACCCAAGTGGCACAATGTCTGTTTGTGGGTTGGTGGTAAAAATGCAGATCAACTGCCTGCTGTTACCACCTGCTGGCCACCCATGTGAAAGGAGCCTTTAATTCTACCATCTGGGAGGCAACTCGAATATATGCCAGGCAAGTTGCACAGTATAATCCTACAGATAATGGTAAGAAGAAACTACATTGATCAAAAAGCCCTCCAACCAAAACCGTGTGTAGCGTGGTAAAGACTTAGAACAGAAAGTATTCACATTTCTATTCATCATATGTCACAAAAATGAGTTTATTTCTTCTTTTGTAGTGGCCAGAGCTATGTAAAGCTTTCTATTATGCCCCACCAGCAAGATGGCCACCCTGGTGTATAGTGCATATACAGCCTACACTTAAAGAGCCATTTATTCCCAGCTGCATACAGCAGTCATAGGCTTTTATACAGTTCTCTTCTTGCCCATGATATACTTCTTGTCTGTTTAGAATTTACCTTTTATCAAACCTAAGCTTCAGAAACACTTTTTGATAAAGTTCCCAGTTTAACAAAGGTTGATAGAAGTAACCACAGGCAATGACTCAATGTTTGCATATTTCAGTGTTATGATCACTGCAATCTTCTATAAACATTCCTGGATAAATTTCAATCGTTAGTAAAAATAGCGGGTTGTGTGACATAATCTGCAGTCAGCATTGGCGGCTTTATTCACTGATCGGGATGTGGGGCATGTCGGAGCTGTTGGTGTAATATAGTGGTGGAGTGAATTTTATAGGTCCCCCATAACATGGTCTTCAACCACCAACAACCTACAATGACTTTGTAAATAATGGGCTACATGAAGTGATACTTTTTTTGCATTGACCGCTTTATTCCTTGGCAATCTGGGTATGGGGAGTATCTGAGCTGCTCATGTACAGTGGGGCAAAAAAGTATTTAGTCAGCTACCAATTGTGAAAGTTCTCCCACTCTTTGGTCTTCACCATAGTGGAGTTTGGAGTGTGACTGTTTGAGGTTGAGAACAGGTGTCTTTTATACTGATAACAAGTTCAAACAGGTGCCATTGATATAAGTAATGAGTGCAGGACAGAGGAGCCTCTTAAAGAAGAAGGTACAGATCTGTGAGAGCCAGAAATCTTGCTTGTTTGTTGGTGACCAAATACTTATTTTCCACCATAATTTGCAAATAAATTCTTTCCAAATCAGCCAATGTGATTGTCTGGATTTTTTTTCTCATTTTGTCTCTCATAGTTGAGGTCTACCTATGATGCCAATTACAGGCCTCTCTCATCTTTTTAAGTGGGAGAACTTGCACAATTGGTGGCTGACTAAATACTTTTTTGCCCCACTGTAGTTTAGTGGAGATATAGATCACAAGTCAAAACACATTTTGGTGCCATGAATGTTAGACCTGTTCCTAGATGTGTTTTGATCCGCTGATTCCCAAAATGGCACCACTTTTCCCTATTGATTGTAGTTTTTGCGATACAGCATAATTGCCATATACCACTCTTCACTCCTGGTACTCCATCAAAAATCAAGATTTTAATGTAGTGTGCAATGTTATAGCATGAAAGAAACCTAAGTTGACCACCATAGAGGTTGTAGCAAAATGCAAAAATGTGTGTCAATATATACACACTTCTGTACGATTCGAACTATAAGCCTAGGTTCACACTACAGTGGTGTGGTATATCGCATCTGATTTGCACAGGAACCACACCGCATTCCTGTACAAATCACATGCGATTTGTATGCGGTACAGTTAGAGCCATACATTTTGTATGGTTCTATTCACAATGCACCCGCACCAAAAACGTGCAGGTCCCTTTTTTTTGGTCCGCACTAGAATCAGATTGCATGGGTATTCACACCTATGCAAGCCGATTCTGCACATCCCACCACATTTTGCGGACTGATGTCAGGGTGTTGTTAACTTAACATTCACACCTGAATCGGTTCATATGAACGGGGTGCGATTGTGATGCGGTGCGGAAATCGCACTGAAAACGCTGGGATATCATTTTGGTCCATCCGACGTCGCCAGGTTGCACCCCAGACTGTCCAGGAGCTCAGTGATGTCCTGGTCCAGATTAGGGAGGAAATACCCCAGGACACCATCCGTCTCATTAGGAACATGCCCCAATGTTGTCAGGCATGCATACAAGCACGTGGGGGCCATACAAACTACTGAGTACCATTTTGAGTTTCAGCATAATAGACTAGCCTGCTGCATACTTTTTTCCCTTTGATTTTTCGGGGTGTCTTTGAGTTCAGTCCTCTGTAGGTTGTCATTTCCATCAAACGATGGGGCCTCATTACGCTCCTAACACATTGCCCAGTCCATATCAGTGTAGATATCCAGCATGATATTTTCCCCATTGAGATCTGATGTGTTTTCATTGAGTTCCTTTAATTTTTTTTGAGCCGTGTATATACTATTGTTGAAGCCGCATGGTATTGCATCAGAAGTCTGTATTACTTGAGTGTAGGGCTTGGCTGTTTTTTATAGAAGGTCTCTACTCGGAACAAACCTCGTAAAATTCCAAATACTGTTACATGCAATATGTATTTCTTTATGGACATCTGTCACTGAATGTTCTATGTACTGTCAGTCGGATGTCTTTTTAGGAACTTTCGACTGGTGAGGATTGTGTGATTTGAACTGCCAGCTATTGTATTGACTCTCATCCCTGGTCTCTGGTCAGCCAAGAATTGAAGGTGTCGGTGTCCTCACTAGTCAAAAGGCTCGATTTTAAATAATAATATTTAAAGAGCAACTGTCATCTCTGTCCTGCAGCGGCTCCTCCTCTGACCCGCTCTTGACTTGCTGACCGTCCTATTCACTTTAATGGGATGGGTGGTGATGCGACAGTGACACAATGTGAGGGATGTGGATGCCCGCTAATGGGCGCTGCCTTTTGATGGTTCTAAAATGACAGGTTCTCTTTAAATGTAAGGACTCCGACTCATTCTTGCCGGTAGTTAGGATCTTTAGTATTTGCAAACCAAATGAAGGTTTCCTTTTTAGAATAATAGGCTGTCAGGTTACTAAAACAGCGATATCAGAACCGATTTTAGGTTTATTCTTTTATTTTATGTTTTTCTCATGGTTACTGTGAAATTGTGTGAATGTATCAATGCAGTGCATGTTATCTCAGTTTGGGTTCATTGAATGAGTTTACCAAAAATGTAAATACAGTATTGCAGAATATACAGCCTCATGCTACATAACTAAGCTCAATTTCATGCTGAATAAACTACATTTATTAATATATCTTAAATACAAAACTATCTTTAGCTATATTTTTACTCCAAAAGCATTTTATTAAAATAATTTGCTAAAAATATTTTTTTTATCCACTCTGCTATATAGTGTGGGTGTTTTTTTTTTTTTTTTTTTTTTTGTATGCTTTTGGGGGTTGCAGGAGGAGCCAGACTATAGAGAACAATGCA